AACGAGGGATTGGCCTGGAAGTACATCGAGCAACGACTAACACCATTGGATATACTAGCCAATAAGTTTTAAACAAGGTAAGTCGGTGTTTTTAATAAAAAAAAATATATAAAATTATGTGCACTCTAGCTGTCTTTGCATTTAATCCACACTGCAAATAATTTTGATACCCGCCTTGCAAGTTTTTGTTTGCTAATAAACGTGAAACCATTTACATGAAATACGACCAACAGTATATACAAAGTATACCTGTAATTTGGTGTTTTTGGTTTTAAATGGAAACCAGGAGACACCAATTCAATTCATACATTTATTTTAAATATTAACATATCTTGAATAACAATCAGATTTATTTATTGTCACAGATCACATCATCATCAGATTTAATCAAATTCAGATTTTAATTATTTTGTATCTGTATTATGATACTATACTAGACAACAGATGTGAAAAAATAATTCGGATCATCTAGGTGAAGTTCTATTTACATAAAGATTAGACTAACACAGCAACTTGAGTGTTAAATGTAAGGGGTCACCATTATATGATATCGCTCTAGGACATGGTCAACTCTGGGTCATAACAAGTGGTCATTTTAGTGCTTGAAGTAAAATCTAACCAAAGAAATGTTTCTAGTTGATCACTTAATGGTCACATGATCGGACCACCTCCTAATAGAAGTATTTGCTGACCTAGTAACAGAATAAGTGACCTATCACTGACCCATCATCAACGCTATAGGATCAACGCTACCTGTGTTCTTGGATATTGTTTGTCTTAAACTGTCCTTAAGTGTCAAAGTGTAGCTAGCAATCACGAAAAGGCCTTCAAAATTGTCTTTGACAATTTCTAGTCTTAATTTGAGGTTATCGGCAACTTCCAAGATTATTTTTTCCATATGTCGTGATTTGTTTTTATTCTCTCCTTTTTTATGATTGATACGGACGGTGCATATTTATCATAATTTTTTTTTTTTAAAAAGGTTGAATTTTTAGTGTATACTTGAGCATACATGTGTACTACGCCACTGCTGCTTTTGTTGCCAAACAAAGTATTGCCTTTTTATTTTTAAGATTAGGCCTAGATTAGAGTTTTATTTGTTATTTTCCTGGACGAGTGGTTTTTCTGTTTGGACGAGTACTTTTTGCCATGTACTTGTCCGCCGGACAAGTGGTTTCAAAAGTTTTCCGGGAGACCTGCTTAACTAAGGTGTTCAGAGTAATTTTACATGTTTTAGGGGTTTAGGATGACGGACATTGCACCACGGAATAAGATCAAATGTCCAAATAACCGTTACTAGTGGATAAAATCAGCACCAATATAATCCTCATTTTTTTCCACAGAATTCTTTCTCTAGAAAGAGACGCAAGGCGGGCTCTGTTGGGAACTTAATCGCCGAGGAGGATGCAGATTCTTTCTTGCCAATTTTGAAAGACATGTTTTCTGATGTGGAAAAACATACCTCGGATGATTTCATACTTGGAAATAATTTTAGAATATAGATTTATGTTAAATGGTTAATATTATTTCTAAACTAGGTGTAAAATATTCTTAATTCCTCCCCGAATCGATTCTAATCCACACGTTGTTCTTCCAGGCCTCTTTCTTTGCTTTCCCAAGAGCAGGAAACTTGAAAACACGAAAACGTCGCATGCAAACACTAGTAATCAAATCGGCCGACAGCGATGAATGTCATTTGACACAGCATTTTAGATGTACATGTGCAGTGTGTGTGCTGCAACTTTCACATGCATCATATTAGTGTTGATATGAACATGAAAAGGCACGAGCAGTCAATTATTCCGAAGCAACTATAATCCAATCGGTAATTATGTGCCGTCAATCCGATCGTGTGTAGACACAAGTGGTGCATCATCGGGGCCAGGTCCTGATAAAATCCAAGGCGACTACCTTGCGTGATGGGGACGCCTGAAAAGTAAAACAACAGCGTACAGTAGTCAGGACCTTATGAGGAACATTTGAAACACCCTTTCTTGACAATGCAGCCGTTTTTGATGAGTCTTCTACAATATCAAAGGTACAAAGACATGCATTGCGTGTGCAATATACTGAACATTTATCAGGATAAATCCTCAGGATCCCATCATTTTTCTACCAATGTAGGTTCTTTCTCTTTTCCTTCCTTTTCTGTCTCATCCTCCATGTCTGTACAAGTCCGCAAAACACTAAGTATGTGTTGAATGGACTTCAAGCCCAAATTATTAGTAACTATAAAAAGACCAACAAACCATCAGTCTAATTTTAACCATTTATGACAATGACTAGAAACATATATACAAATGACCTTTGGACATTCTTAAAATACAAACTAAACAGAAAATCACTCTGGAAACGCTGCACTTCATAAATATTACATATGAATATTTATTGAGATATGTGAAGGACAAATCGTGGATTTCATACACGTATTGAACCAGTGGATACCTTACTAAAACACCTGATTTATATTGATTATCACCANGGGGGCTGAGAAATGTTCAATAGTCAACGGTGTTCTGCCGAAGGCAGCATACCGAGCGCGTAGCGCGAGGAGGGGGAGGGTATGGGAGGGGGTCTTCCCTCTCCCGTAAAGGGAGTTTGGGGGATCTCCCCCCCAAAAAAATGTGTTTTCTAGAACGTCTCAGAAGCGATTTCCCGTGTTCTGAGGATTGTTTCTATGTTTAATTAACAAGAAGAAAAAAAACCATATTTTAAGTGTGGCCCAAACATTTTATTTTGTGTACTGGAAAGAAAATTAAAGTTTCGGTTCAAATTCTCTATCAACAGCGTGTTTTAGAAGTCAGATGGTATTATTATAGGGGCAACCTGGTGCTTGTTCATTATTACATAATTTGGCGTCCCGCCCGCAAGGGTGTACGAGAGGTCCACCGTCAAAAAATAAATGTAGGGACGCACAATATCTAGTCTTCAGACATTGTACCTACAGTACAGTACTTCATGTAATAGTTTTTCGTACAAAAGAACAAATAACACCATAACATCGTTGCTGTTTAATTAATGAGTTACTCATGGCATCACTAAGTTGCTAAACAAACGGATAAGTTCAAGTCAGTGCGACGTCCAAGGCCACTAGCTATATAGTCTCGCGTTTTATAATTGTTGACTAATTCATTAGTGTAGACAATGATATATATGAAATGTCCACGCTGATTAATTCATGTAAGGGCGTGCATATTACCAACAGTGGTGCATTTGCTAAGCTATCTGGTTAAAATGGTACAACTTAGGAGGCACATACGCGTCACCTTTAAATTTAATTTAAAATTATCATACTTGTAAGTACAGCATATCATCTCATTCTGGTACGTACAGCTTAATACTACGTACACAATAGTATGCTGTGTGAAGATACTTTCTTGTACGTACACGATGGTAAGCTATAAGTACCACAACGAGATATTATGTTGTACATGTATATAAGACAGTTCCAACAATGTATATAATACCAAAATAATTGAATGGATATGTTTAGTCGATTATACATAATATTGTCAACCGAAAAAAACCTTTATCGTTCTTGTATAATGATATGATTAATATCGCCCGGGCGGTTAGGAAGGTTACAATAAAAAGTATTAATTTTCAGGTCATCTATAACGAGCGGTCAATCATATAATTATGCAACTTATGCTAGTATATTTCCGCCGAGCGTTGCAAGTTGCAACTTCGGGTTTTTCGGAGGTGGTAAAATAAAAAACAAACTTAAGGGTCAAGATACAAAGAAGACGAGCCTAGCGATGCCAACGAATATTGTTTTAATAAAGAAAATATAGGTGTGCCCCCCCCCCCCCCTCTCTAAATCCGCGCCTGCTTGCATACAAAATCATTCATTTTCGAAATGATACACGCTTATCTGCTTGTCCTACCTCTTTCTTTTATACATTGTCATTCTCCTTCCTTTTAGGACTCCGAACGATTTTTATATTCCTTTTGTGTGATAATTTTATATTCATACAGGAATAGTTTAATCACGGAATTAGAATAGTTATCTAAGTCCGTGGTTTAATGAAGAAACGAAAAAGAAAAAAACTGACTTCCCAAAAAATAGGTCTTTTCCTGAAAATCAGTTATAAAAATTCTAAATTGCGTTCCTACACCACTTTTAAGGCTCTGGAAATTTGATATATATATATATAAACTCATATTTTATTCCAATTAAATGAAGATTTGATTATTTATATAGAAAAAAAACCCAGACAATAACCCATTTCCACATGTACATCACTTAGAAGAAAAATATGATGTGGAAATGGGTTATTGTCTTGGTTTTTTCAATATCACTTTTTTTGTTTATTTAAAAAATATATAAAAAAAAAATAATATACAACATTTGATATAGCGCTTATCTAGCTAACATAAGCCACTCTAAAGGGCTTTACAGTACATAAATATACAATTTTATACAGTCAATACAATTAGCATATTAATCAATACAATATTGAGGAATTTGCAGGAGCTGACTTATCAGGCGCTAACTACTAGTCCTATGCCACCTGGCTATTATCTCTCTATGTGTGTATGCCTGTGTGTGCTGGAGATGTATTGTGTTCTAGACCTGTTTGTAGTGGGACCGCTTCCAACGGTACCTTTATAGTGCTACCTCACTTGAATGCTACAGCACAGATACCGCAACAATCACCCCAGACTATTTTTTACTCCTCCTGGGTTGTTGGAGTTGTGTGGGTAGGAGAAAAACACTTTCTCTAATATTCCATGCGTACGGCGACTTCGGGGATCGAACCCCGGTCGCCTGATTGGAAGGCCGGAGTGTATAATCACTCGATCAATCCGCCCATTTTTAAATATCAAAAGCATCAACTATGAAACATTGACTTCTAATCTTATTTTCGATATTAATTTGACAAACGAAATACAAACATGTAGGATAAGACTAATCAGAAAATTAAATGCTCAAATATAACGACCCATCATCCTTAAAGATAACATTAGCATTATTCAGGTTATTATTATCCGGAATCAGTTTCCGTTTCACAATTAGATTCAGCCTTGCACATGGTTGTGAAGAAATAGGATAAATTCAAAACATGACAGCTAATATCAAAGTGCAACAATCGAGATTTGCGTTGTTAAAGGTAGAAGACGACGATGACGATGCAGGGGAAACAAAGTCTTCACAGGGAGGGAAAAACAACCAACAACAATCGAAGAATAAAAACAAGAAAAGAAAAAAGAAGACGACCCAAGATGATGAGGTTGTTACCATAATAGAGATGCATCAGCATGCTATGATAAATTTATTGCTAGTTCAAGTTTCTTCTCGAATGACAATATAACCCATTATATATTCATTTTATGTTCATTGTTGAACTTTTCTAGTTTGATCGTCATATTTCAATTGACATGTTTTGTGACAGTCTCTTCATCAGGTCCAGTACACTCTGCCGATTGAGCTATATAGCTGTAAAGACCTATAATAGCTCTATTGACCTATCTGAAATAGGTCTTTTGAGCTATTTTCAAGTGATTTTCTTTTTTAAGGAAAACGGAACGAAGTCGCATTTAAAAGAAGATTGTATCATTAAGTTGATAACAAAAGACATTAAATATAAGTATTCTTTTTAAAAAATAATGATGTAAAGAAATCGGAAATTTTACATTTATGAAAAATGAAAATAAACATCTAACTGTATGCTTTTTGTAGTCAACATTACCATTAACCTTATTGTTTTATGCGACTTTGCTTTAATTTAATGAAATTTGAAATCTGAGAAAATATAGCTCAATACAGCTATAATTTATAGGTGTATATAGCTATATAGGTCTTTATAGCTATATAGCTCAATCGGCAGAGTGTACTGGACCTGTTCATTCCTGATCTAGATATGTATGCATTTTTGTGGATTGTTGTCGGTTGTATTGTGTTCTCAAGGGAGCTCAACTAAGATGCTGTAACATGTCATCATCACCGAAAGTGTATCTGGTCTTTATTTGTTGGTAACAAGTCACCTGACTGATACTTAATTCGCTGTATAATTTAGTAATTGGTGTAATATTTGTGGATCCATATTGAGTTGGTGTAACAGGAGAGGAAAAATGCACAGCAAGACCAGGGTTCGAACCGGGTCCCTCCGAACTCTTAGTCGCTGGTTTGATTCCCAGAGAATGCTCACTATTCTCTTTTCTGTTATGGTAGCATTCAATGTAATAAGATAGAAAGATGTTTTACAAGTAAATTTGCCAAAAACCTTGACATAGAATGCTTTCAGAACAAAACAAGTGATGTACATGTATAATATGCAAGATAGAAAGTGAGGTCATAATTTGATTTTATACACAGTGTATATGGCACATGTGTTGATATTGAACTATTTTTATACTTATTAGTAGTGTACATGGTCAGTACCCCAGTTATTGTAATGTTCAGCACCAGCTGTCATCAAGCCAGGCTTTGATGGGTCTATCTATATATAGCTTGGGGGTAATGTTTTAAAGAAGTTATTTTTGTGACAGACAATTTAAAAAATAAGGTTTCAAAGGACACACAGTATTGATATTGAAGGATTTTGTTATATTTTTTAAACTCATTTTAAAGATCTTCATTTAATGATAAAATCTTGAAATATATTACCACATGTCTTTAAAATTTCAGTGAAAGTTTCCATAGTACAATATAGCTACATGGTATTATACAGTACAATACAGACACAGTGTCAGAGATTTATCTTATTGCTTTATAGTTTCATTTACTAATGCATCCATTCCAATTTCAAAACAGTTGAATATATTCCTTCTATCCCTAATTATATATAATTTGTCTAGTTGAAAAATAAATTTGCAAAAATATGAAATAATTGTATAAGACCAATCGAGAATATTACAAAAAATGATGGAGCAATATAATTCTCCACATTTTGACGTCCTTTTTTTCCTAGTTTTGCCAATGTGGATGTTTTCCCTAAAGTCTGATATATAGGCCATTTTTGATGCATAGCTGATCAAACTGATGCTCACTCGATAAAAAGATATCTAGTACATTGCTGCCAAGTCGTGTATAGGAGTAGGACATAATGTGTACACACACACTTCATAAAATGTTTGTCTTACTTCAGAAAATTAATAGAATTCTGGTTTAAACTGTGAAAAGTTTAAAGACTTTAAATTCCTTTATATTTAAACGAAATCATCAATTTGATCTTACCAGTTAAAGAACATGGCGTTTGGCCTGAGAGGGGCTAGCAATCACAGACCACAATCAGCCCAGAGTACTGACAGTCTAAAAGGTAACAAGGGGGGAAAGAAGAACAAAGGGGCTAAACCGGAGCAATGGGAGGAATGGAAAAAAGTGGATGACCAAGTAAGTCTCCGTCGATGGATGTTGTGGTTTCAAAATTAATCATTGTTTTTAAGGTTAGTTGGTCTATTAATAGTCTGCCACAAGCATCACAACTTTGGACTGTTAAAACACTTAATATAAACTATGGACACACTGAGAAATCAAGATTTTAGCTTGACAACTTTCCAGTCTAATTTTACATCTGGTAAGTAAGGGTATCTTTTTGAAAATGTAGTTTTGTGCATGGTACCTGAATTTAGTGAAATCAAAATGAAAAGTTTTTTCATTGTGTTAAAAATTTAAAACAAGGATTTGCAATAGTGAATTATGTATAAAGATCCTTGTTTGATAGATACAAACAAAGCAATTTTATTTATATATTAATATTACTAGCCATTAGATTTAAAAATAAAATCTAGCTCAACCTTTTATAACTTCATAAATAAATATAAGTGGAAATTTTTACAAGCCATGAAATTGAATCTACTAGTCCTCCATGTTAGACTTGTGGACCATAACACCCCTGTGGAACAAATGTTTATCCTTGTATAAATGGACACTATTATTTCTTAAGAAGAATTGGAGATATATGCTATAAATATTTTATATAAACATATATCATATGCATATACATATCATTATTCTAGCGGTCCAGATCAAGTAATTTTGTTTCCAAGAAATTTTAATTTGTGTTCTTTTTAGTCTGTATAACCTTGGGTTTGGAATCACTCGTGTAACAGGAAATACTGGAAGACATTGCTTTTATAATTATTGATTTTTATGAATATGTCGTCTTGTTTCTGTAAGGTTTTATATCTCTTGTAATTAATTACAAAAAATATTTTGCCTTTTTTATGCCCATGAATTAAAAAGTTCTGTGTATGTATCTTGTGTTATGGAGGCTAAACTGTCAAATTCTTACTACAGTTACTTGTGATTAAAGGGTACCAGTTAAAATAACAATCAACTGCTTTACAAATTTGAACAAAAATTTTGAGCAAAGTATCTGCATTACGATCATGATAAGAGCCTTGTCAATGAAATACATACCAAGCGATCTTGTGTATTACTTAACATGCATTCATATTGACAAAAGTGATTCATGAATGACTGACAAACCTGTGTCTTGCAGCAAACAGCAGGATTTTATGAAAAAGATCTACAACAAGCCTTACTTCTTAGCAAGATGGAGTTTGAACAAAATAAAAATGTAAGTGTTCCCAGTCTAACCTCAGGATCGTGTAACTGTTATACTGCAAGTCTGATTACGTTAAACGCTATCATTGTGAGGCTGTTAAATGTCCCCATTCCACCTGGCAGCCCCATTCTTAACATTTGCAATGTTTAGACATGACAAGGAAGTGCTAAGTGATTCATCTATATTTAGTAACACTGACCTTGAGACTTGGAATTCTAAAATTTGAACTTATTCAAAATATCTTTGTACTGCATGAACACCTATAGAATTTCATTGTAATTGATTGAAAATAAAGGTGGTAGAGCAATGACAAAGGAAAGTTAACAGACAGACGCCCGGGGGAATACCATACTGTAAATATGACAGGCATATAATAACAGTGAAACAGTCTTTTAATTTTATTGGCTAGATTGCAACGCAATCAGGGCTTATAGATTGGCGATTCCAGTCTGTCTGTCTGCGCTAAGGTTAAGAAGAATGGTTAAGCTCAGCTTCGAAGTTGTTTATTATCCCTCATCAACTTATCTTGCATGGCTTATACATCTAAGGATGCTAATCACATTCAATGCTTCGGATGCTGCTTCTGACCTACATTTTCCGTTTCAATGACCAGGTTAAGAAGATTGGTTAAGGTCAGTTACTCAGTCGCTACTTGTTGTAGATCAACTAAACTTGCATGGCGTATGTACCTGAGAATGCTTATCACATGCATTACTTCAGATGCTGGGTCTGATCTACATTTTCAGCTTGATTGACCAGGTTAAAAAGATTGGTTAAGGTCAGGCCACATCTGCATTATGGTTAAGAAGATTCGTTTAGATCACTTACCAAGTGACTACTTGACATGTCCTTCATCAACTAAACTTGGATGGCTTATGTATCTAAGGATGCTTTTTACATGTGTTGCTTTACATGAAAATGTACTGTAGCATTCTGGCCATATCGCCATTGGCAGTTTCTTGTTATATGATTCACATTACTTTGAATCAAAACAAACCCTTTAATAGGTAGAGGTCTGCATATCAAATCTGAAGGCTAGTTAATATATGTTTATATGTGGAAATGAAAGTCAAATGTTAAGACTGTCATAAAGAAAAGAAAAATATTTATTTTAAGACTTTGAAGAGATTAACATTTTGATAACGTATTAAAGCGGTAGGTTGTAAAACTCAGAAAAAAAATTCCTTCTTTTTTTTATGCAGCAAAAAGGTGATTCTAAAACAGCCGGGAAAAGCAATGACCAGCCACCAGAAGGAAAAGACAGTAAAAAGAAATCAAAGAAAGACAAACCGTTAACCATGAGTCTGGATGAGTTCAACTCAAGTAGCAAGGCAAAATCTTACACTGATGGTGAACAAATCTACAAAAATTAGAGAATCTTCAGTAATGTGTTGTGTTAGAGTAAAAGTGAAACAAATTGTGTTCATATGTGTTTGGTAATAAATGTTCATGCTGTGATGAGTGAAGCCAAACGTCCCATTATCCCAATGTATGCAAAATATGATTGCAGTAAATTTGCACCTTTTGCAAAACATTTTAAGCTCACCTGGTGCAAAGGACCAAGGTGAGCTTATGCCGTGGCGCAGGGTCCGTCGTCTGTACGTCCTTCGTCCGTCTGTCAACTTTTTCCTTTAAGAAACTATTAGTCAAGAATTGCTGGACGGATTTGGACCAAATTTGATATGGAGAACTCTTTGGCCAAAAGGGTTCGTTGTTATATAAATGAACTTGGTATCCCCCCCCCCCGGGGCCAGAGGGGCAGGGCCCAAATGGGGTAAATAGTGGTATATGTTTAAAAGACTACTAGTCATGAACGGCTTAAGTGATTTGAACTAAATTTTGTATGGAGCATCCTTTGACCAAAATGGGTCATTGTTATATAAATGAAGTTGGTATTTCCTCAGGGGGCAGAGGGGCAGGGCCAAGTGGGGCAAATAGTGGTTTATGTTTAAAAGACTACTAGTCAAGAATGGCTAGAGGGATTTGGACTAATGGGGCAATTTGGCTATATTGCTACAAATGCCTTCTTTTGTAGAACTATGCACTGGATATCAATTATATTTGATTAAAGGCATTCATGGGTGGCATGGATTCAAAATTGTACAAATGGTGTGGCTGAGCCCCCAGGGGACTGAGGGGTGGGGCCAAAAAGGGTTATTTGGCTATATTGCTTTAAGCGGCTTCTTCTCTGGAACTTTGTGATGGATATCAACCATATTTGTAGCTGACCCCCAGAGGGCTGAGGGATGGGGCCAAAAGATGGCAATTAGGCTATATTGCTATAAATGGCTTCTGTAAAACTATGCCATGGATATCTATCATATTTGGTCGGAAGCATTCATGGGAGGCAGGGATTCAAAATTGTACAAATGGTGGGGCTGAGGGGCAGGGCCAAAAGGGGGCAATTAGGCTATATTGCTATAAATGACTTCTGTAATAACTTTGCCATGTATATCGATCAGATTTGGTCGGAAGCATTGATGGGAGGCAGGGATTCAAAATTGTACAAATGGTGGGGCTGAGGGGCAGGGCCAAAAGGGGGCAATTAGGCTATATTGCTATAAATGACTTCTGTAAGAACTTTGCCATGTATATCGATCAGATTTGGTCGGAAGCATTGATGGGAGGCAGGGATTCAAAATGGTACAAATGGTGGGGCTGACCCACCCTGGCTAAGGGAATGCATATTTGCTTCCAGGATGGCCCACCCTTGGAGACTTAAACCCTTGGTTATAACTTTGAAATGGTTTAGATCCCCACCCCAAAACTATATATACAATTGTTGGGCATAAAGAGACGAATGCAGTCATGATATTAGAATTGACCCCAGGGGCTGCCCCATCCTTGCAGTCTTAACCCTTGGGTCATAACTTCGAAACGGCTGAGATCCCCATCCCAAAACTATAAATACAAATGCTGGGCAAAAAGACACGAATGCAGTCATGATATTAGAACTAATCCTGGAGTCTGGCCACAACCCTAGGGACCTAGTTTCTGAGTCACAGCTTGGAAACAGTTGAGACCCCCACCCCATAACCATACGTAAATTTGCTGGGCATGAAAAATCTAATACAGATATGTTACAAGGATTGGCCTTGGGGTTTGGTATATTCCCTTGGATCTCATTTGGAGAGTATTTTGCCATGAGTGCTTAGATATCCAGGTGAGCGATACAGGCCCTCTGGGCCTCTTGTTATATTTGGGCCTGTTTTCATGAAACTGTTCTTATGCTCAGATTCTTAGCTCAGGCCAAATTTCTTATTCTGGTAACAAATTTTAAAAAAGTCACATTATGTCAATGATTTCAAAGACCTTAGCGGAGGCTTAGATTAAAGCCAAATGCCATTATCAGTTTCTTAACTTGAAGCTTGACTTGACTTGACTTTAACTTGAACTAAAATGATTTAAGCAATTTGTAAATAAGTTGGTTTGAACACAGAATCCATGCTTGAGCATGAGAACAGTTTTATGATACCAGTATGGTTTCCCAGTTTTTGTTTCATACCACAGAAGTTGGGAAATGACATGACTGCATTAAGCCAAGTATTTTTTTCAAATTCAGAGTTGGAAGATCTACCCTGCCTTTCTCCTGTCTCTCATAAGGTGGATACACCAGATGCTGTACCATCAGATGTCAAGTATTTTGATACAGTAGATGATGATGTTCACAAAATTTTACAAAAAGAAAAAATACAAGAGGAATATCAAAAGGTTTGTTTTAAGGAGGGTCATCACTTTAATCTTTAAAACATGTTAATAACTGTACTATGAGTAAAACTATTTTTTTTATCTTGCCCCACTAAATACTGTGTCATGGTCCTTTGTTAATTTTACATACCAAAATTTTGTTCTCCGCTGGGGGACTATAATGGTTTGCTCAAATTACTTTGCCTTGCTATTTGATATTTAATCTTCATCCAGTTTCCCAAGTTATACAAGTTGATACATGTAATAGAATTTATTTTAGCAGACCTTTTTTTAGCATATTACAAAACTGCAACAGATCGGCTCATTGATGAGTTGGTGCACTCACCATATGTGCGATAAATCACTACAGAAATTTCTATTAGCACATTCATAAGTTTGCACACGAAAGCACAAAAAGTACTAAAATTAGAATACTGCTAAAGTATATATATATGTATGTTTACAGATTATGTCCCAAAACTCATTGTTGTTATGATGTCATAAATGTTTCAGATTGTAAATTCCATTCCTTAAACAGCACTTTCTGTCATTCAATAATCTAATGATCATGAGCTACCTAGCTTGTATTAATGAAAATTAGAAGTCTAAATAGCAGAAAATAGAACTGTCAGCCACATTTTAGTTGACTGTTTTTAGGAATTAGTGATTTAAGTTTCATAATATTGTACTTTAGATGTTTTGTTAGCCGACTTTTATTTGTCTGTTTTAAGGCTGAGTGATGTTAAGTTTTGGCTATCTATAGGTTTAGTCTTAAGATCAAAATAAACCTCTAATAGCTTTAGCCACAATACAGCATTCCTTACATTTTTAGGTCACCTGAGCTTTAGCTCAAGTGACCTATTGCTATCCGTCGTCATCCGTCGTCCGTTGTCCGTTAACATTTTACATTTTCAACTTAAGCTGAAATACTGGCAAAGGGATTTCATTAATATTTCATGGGAAGGTCACTGACATATCCCTGACCAAGTGTTGTTATTTTTCGGGTTGATCAGAAATCCAATATGTCCGCCATGGCCCCCATTTTGAAAAACTATTTCAAACTTAAAGTCAAGTTCTACTGGGCCGATTGAACTGAAACTTGCTAGGAATGATCGACTTATTGTCCTGATAACATGTTGTTATTTTTCGGGTGGAACACAAATTCAATATGGTCGCCATTTTGAAAATCTATTTCAAACTCAAAAGTCGAATTCTGCTGGGATGATTAAACTGAAACTTTGTAGGAATGATCGACTCATGGTCCTGACAAAGTGTTGTTATTTTTCCGGTCGATCAGAAATACAATTTGGCTGCCATGGACGCTATTTTGAAAATAACTATTTCAAACTTAAAAACAAGTTCTAATAGGCCGATCTAACTGAAACTCGGTCTAGGAATGAATGATCAGCTCATGGTCCTGAAAAACTGAAGTTAACGTTGTACTTAACTATTTTTTACTCAAATTGGTACATTTTCAACAACAAAAATAAATACTGTAGGACTCGGGTGACCGTTAAGGCCTATGAGCCTCTTGTTTATCATCTACTTATCATTCAAATATTAACATTGAATTGGTTTTTATTGTTGTAGCAATATGCAGTAGAAAGTGTGATGTCCAACAAATATAAAAACGACCTAAGTAAAAAAGACAAAGAAATAGAATTTTTGAGAGCAACTGTAGGCAAACTAGAGGTAAGTAAGATTTCAGCAGAATTTGTTTATACCACAGAAGCTTGATGGAAAGATTGTATTTATAATAATATGAAATGTACAAATACAGAATAATTAACCATGTTGGAACAGCCTAGGAGCTATTATAGAAATAAGGACTTTATACATTGTATTATAAGGGCAGTTGATCATCTTTTGTTATATTTCTAGAATGTATATATTTATAATATCAGATATTATTTAAAAACCAGACTGTCATCCAAAATTATATTTTCGTTGAGATTATCCTAGGCCATCATTACCTTTATGTAGGGTCTAGATTTACCCAGTATCTACCACCCATCTCTGCAAAGTGTTGACCACCTTGCCACCCATTAATTCTGTAAATCATGGACCTTTATGCCACCCATAAAATCTAGACTACTCTGCAAGCAATACAGACATCTCTGCAAAGTCTGGACCATCCAGCCACCCATACATATATCTATGTAGAATTGGACCAACCTAGCTAGCTAGCCAGTCACCTGTACCTACATTTCTGTAAATCTGGACCACCCTGTCACCCATACATATCTTTCTGTAGAATTTCTACTACCCTGTCACCCTTACATATCTTTCTGTAGAATCTCTACCACCCTGTCACCCATACATATCTTTCTGTAGAATCTGGACCACCCTGTCCTCCTTACATACATTTCTAAAGAATCTGGACCACCCTGCCCTCCTTACATACATTACTGAAAATATGGACTAGCTGTCCATCCTTACATAACTGTATGTAGAAACTAGATTATTAGTCTAGCTAAAACCCTTTATACATTATAATATTTATTTGGAGTTTGGTTAGTTCTGTAGACTACATTGCCACTGATTACAGCTAGCTGTGTATGGAGTTGTCACTGATTACAACTAGCTGTGTATGGAGTTGTCACTGATAACAACTAGCTGTGTATGGAGTCGTCACTGATAACAACTAGCTGTGTATGGAGTTGTCACTGATAACAACTATCTGTGTATGGAGTTGTCACTGATTACAACTAGCTGCGAATGGTGTTGTAACTGATTACAACTAGCTGTGTATGGAGTTGTCACTGATAACAACTAGCTGTGTATGGAGTTGTCACTGATAACAACTATCTGTGTATGGAGTTGTCACTGATTACAACTAGCTGCGAATGGTGTTGTAACTGATTACAACTAGCTGTGTATGGAGTTGTCACTGATAACAACTATCTGTGTATGGAGTTGTCACTGATTACAACTAGCCGTGTATGGAGTTGTCACTGATTACAACTAGCTGCGAATGGTGTTGTAACTGATTACAACTAGCTGTGTATGGAGTTGTCACTGATAACAACTAGGTGTGTATGGAGTTGTCACTGATTACAACTAGCTGCGAATGGTGTTGTAACTGATTACAACTAGCTGTGTATGGAGTTGTCACTGATAACAACTATCTGTGTATGGAGTTGTCACTGATAACAACTAGCCGTGTATGGAGTTGTCTCTGATTACAACTAGCTGTGTATGGAGTTGTCACTGATAACAACTAGCCGTGTACGGAGTTGTCACTGATAACAACTAGCTGTGTATGGAGTTGTCACTGATAACAACTAGCCGTGTATGGAGTTGTCACTGATAACAACTAGCTGTGTATGGAGTTGTCACTGATAACAACTAGCCGTGTATGGAGTTGTCACTGATAACAACTAGCTGTGTATGGAGTCGTCACTGATAACAACTAGCTGTGTATGGAGTTGTCACTGATAACAACTATCTGTGTATGGAGTTGTCACTGATAACAACTAGCTGTGTATGGAGTCGTCACTGATAACAACTAGCTGTGTATGGAGTTGTCACTGATAACAACTATCTGTGTATGGAGTTGTCACTGATAACAACTAGCCGTGTACGGAGTTGTCACTGATAACAACTAGCTGTGTATGGAGTCGTCACTGATAACAACTAGCTGTGTATGGAGTTGTCACTGATTATAACTAGCTGTGTATGGAGTTGTCACTGATTACAACTAGCTGTGTATGGAGTTGTCACTGATTACAACTAGCTGTGTATGGAGTTGTCTATTGTCGTAGATGTGTCAAAGATACCTGTATTTTAAAGTCCTTCCTGTTACAATTGTTTGGTGATCCCTAGTAAACTGATTAAGATACATTTCAAATTCCATTGGTTCATCTTCCTTTCACACGTTTGCCTACCCGTGTAAATATGTATAAACTTGACATTTGTACTACTTCTTGATATTTCGTATTTCAATTACTCAAATATGTCTGCAATAAAATCATAAATCAATAATATCATTTATTGACATTGTATCCATAAAATTGTATTTTACTGTCTTTTCCATCAGTTAAACTAAATGTGGATGTCTAATTTTCAATGCTGTATGTTTTGTAGGATGAACTTAAGCAAGTAAAGAAGAGAAATAAGCAATTATGTGTGATATTAGCTCAGGGAGAAAGTAAGTATTGACTAAAGTGATTCATTATTTTATCTCTGACACCGAACAAAAATCTTATTCCATAATCAGTCCATCTTTAACCTTTCTTTTATAAACCTACTTGTCCAGAAAAGAAGTTAAAGGGGGATTTTAGTACTGAGCATCACTGGGCCAAACAGATTCAATGTTAGATTGTGAATTTTCAAGAATTAGGCATGTCTCATAGGAAGGCATGAGTCTAGGACTCAAATATGTATGTCCTGAAAATCCGTGGATATTTACTATACAGTAAATGGTTAAAAAATGGATTCACCCGGAGTCAAAGGTCACAGGGTAAAATGTTACCAATCTTCTCATGAAGCATTACGTCTAGCTGTTTGATGATTGTTGTCTGGTGGCTTGAAAGGTTGAAAGTATTATCAATTTTTTTCATGAAATCAAAACGATTATGGGTACAAGACGCTTGGGCCTCTATTCCAATTTGTTGTTAATGTGTAACTGCAGTGTATAATATTTGCACTATTTACAATGATGAGCTGCAAAGATCGAAAGGAATGCATAGACGCCAACCATCAATATATAGTCTCTATTTACACACTTTATTGTGACTACAGTGAAAGACAAGGCAGAGGTGCTGATGCAGGTGAACCAGCTAGGAGAGGTGAGAGACGAGCTTACAGAACAGGTCACTAATCTCACAGCTGAACTGGAGAAAGAGAGGTCCAAGGTCCATGCACTCAAAGCAGATATTGACAAACAAAAGGTACATTGTATGTCATACATTTACAAATGAAGTGCAGTTAAGTATCAGTGTTTTCTTAGCAATATGTTACAGCATCTTCAAAGATGAAAGAATTCATAATTAAAATATTACACGTGTGAACATGTATTAAAATTTGATTTGTAATATTAAAATATTCTTGTTACACGATTGCTGCCTTGAAATAAATCACACACACATAATAATTTTGAGACCATGTTTAAAGGTCTGATATATATAGAATCTAACCTATGCCTGCCATAATTGTAGGGTTCAAATGCTGTCATAATATGTACGAGACCTCATTGGTCTGGTCAGTTATATGAATGTAATATTTGAGAAATGAACATGAACAATTTACTAAGCAAATATGTACAAGCCCCTCAAAGATCATCTTTAACAATCCCCTCAAAGGTCATCTTGTACAATCCCCTCAAAGGTCATCTTGTACAAGCCCCTCAAAAGTCATCTTGTACAAGCCCCTCAAAGGTCATCTTGTTCAAGCCCCTCAAAGGTCATCTTGTACAAACCCCTCAAATATCATCTTTCATCATGATCTCATTGTTACCAATGTACATGTGCTTGTTCAGAAAGAAAACAGAGTAAAAAGAGAAAAGAACCTGCATACCGGCAATATTCCAGGATCTGTCATTGTTGGGTGACAATTTTCTTTTTGGATCACTTATTATTTTTAAAAATATTGATTTTTTTTATTGATTTTTTTCAGGGTGGCAAGCATGTTGGTAAATGAAGTCTCATTTCTTAGAGAAGCATTTGTGAGTGCTTGAAGAGGTGGTCTGGAGTGGCTTCTGTTTTTGGTTTACCCACTGAAGTGCACATCTTCAACTATACATAGTGCCTGTACTTCACTCCGTCATCACATCTTGACAGAGAGGAGATTAAATACATCACAGATAGAATAGTCTAGAAACATTTGTTATGTAATGCGACAACAGTTTGGATTTATTACAGTGTACATGTATCAGAAAAGTAGAGAAATTGTAGAAAGGCAAAGACATTTAAGTGTTAGAATCAGGTCAATATTTATATTCCTTCTGAGATTCCTCATATCACAAATGTTTAAGGTATAGAAAGGTTTATGAGCCGATTTTCAATTTGGAATCTGAATTCTGCAGGTGTTACAATGTTGAGGGTGTTTTTCACATAATTCATGGTGTCAAGTTCTGAGAAGATTGTTTTAACTCCGACCAACTTTTTAATTTGCGAGATACTGTAAAAGTGTCAATGTTTGCTAATTTCCTGTTTACAAAATCATAAAGATACAGGCACACATACGCTCATTGAAACAATAGGAACGAATCAAACAGCATTGCCTGCATATACAAACATTTCCAACTCAAAGTTCAAAGAGTTGAAAGGCAAACAAATTTTCTCTTTCACAGTGTAAAATACTGTAAATATACTACATGTATGAGAATCATGCGACCAATTATCATTTAACCTTTTCTTGAGATAGAAATTTCATTTTCGCAGAAAGAGTTAATGTTCTTTACAGAAAATGATCATGTTTTAGGTTCTCAAACTTGTCATGATGTATATTCATAAATAAAAAAATCATGTTTTTTGAACTTATGATAACTGTTTTCATTTCATTGAAATATCATTGAGATGATTAGAAAAATCCCAACGAATATTAACAATATTTTTGGAGTTAACATGTTTTTTGAGGATTTTTTTTCTCCAATTCGGGTTGCCTTCAATGTATAACACATTTCTTTTAAATGTTTTATCTTTTAAGTTACATGTACTTCAAAGATACGAGACATGTCCGAGCAAAGTGATCGATCTGGAAGTTACATAATAACTTTAATAGGAGGCTTGTCCTAGATCTGGGAGTTACATAGTAACTTTAATAGGAGGCTTGTCCTAGATCTGGACGTTACATAGTAACATTAATAGGAGGCTTGTCCTAGATCTGGAAGTTACATAGTAAGTTTAATAGGAGGCTTGTCCTCAATCTGGAAGTTACATAGTGACTTTAAAAGGAGGCTTGTCCTAGATCTGGAAGTTACATAGTAACGTTAACAGGAGGCTTGTCCTAGATCTGGGAGTTACATAGTAACATTAATAGGAGGCTTGTCCTCAATCTGGGAGTTACATAGTAACTTTAATAGGAGGCTTGTCCTCGATCTGGAAGTTACATAGTGACTTTAAAAGGAGGCTTGTCCGAGATCTGTAAGTTACATAGTAACTTTAATAGGAGGCTTGTCCTCGATCTGGAAGTTACATAGTGACTTTAAAAGGAGGCTTGTCCTAGATCTGGAAGTTACATAGTAACGTTAACAGGAGGCTTGTCCTAGATCTGGGAGTTACATAGTAACATTAATAGGAGGCTTGTCCTCAATCTGGGAGTTACATAGTAACTTTAATAGGAGGCGTCTCCTGGATCTGGAAGTTACATAGTAACATTAATAGGAGGCTTGTCCTCACTCTGGAAGTTACATAGTAACTTTAATAGGAGGCTTGTCCTAGATCTGGACGTTACATAGTAACATTAATAGGAGGCTTGTCCTAGATCTGGAAGTTACATAGTAATTTTAATAGGAGGCTTGTCCTAGATCTGGAAGTTACATAGTAATTTTAATAGGAGGCTTGTCCTAGATCTGGAAGTTACATAGTAACTTAAATAGGAGGCTTGTCCTAGATCTGGAAGTTACATAGTAAGTTTAATAGGAGGCTTGTCCTCAATCTGGAAGTTACATAGTGACTTTAAAAGGAGGCTTGTCCTAGATCTGGAAGTTACATAGTAACGTTAATAGGAGGCTTGTCCTATCTCTGGGAGTTACATAGTAACTTTAATAGGAGGCTTGTCCTAGATCTGGACGTTACATAGTAACATTAATAGGAGGCTTGTCCTCAATCTGGAAGTTACATAGTGACTTTAAAAGGAGGCTTGTCCGAGATCTGTAAGTTACATAGTAACTTTAATAGGAGGCTTGTCCTCGATCTGGAAGTTACATAGTGACTTTAAAAGGAGGCTTGTCCTAGATCTGGAAGTTACATAGTAACTTAAATAGGAGGCTTGTCCTAGATCTGGAAGTTACATAGTAACTTTAATAGGAGGCTTGTCCTCAATCTGGAAGTTACATAGTGACTTTAAAAGGAGGCTTGTCCGAGATCTGGAAGTTACATAGTAACTTTAATAGGAGGCTTGTCCTAGATCTGGAAGTTGCATAGTAACATTAATAGGAGGCTTGTCATAGATCTGGAAGTTACATAGGAACATTAATAGGAGGCTTGTCATAGATCTGGAAGTTACATTGTAACATTAATAGGAGGCTTGTCATAGATCTGGAAGTTACATAGTAACTTTAATAGGAGGCTTGTCCTCAACCTGGAAGTTACATAGTGACTTTAATAGGAGGCTTGTCCTAGATCTGGAAGTTACATAGTAACTTTAATAAGAGGCTTGTCCTAGATCTTGGAGTTAAATAGTAACTTTAATAGGAGGCTTCTCCTAGATCTGGAAGTTACATAGTGACTTTAATAGGAGGCTTGTCCTCAATCTGGAAGTTACATAGTGACTTTAATAGGAGGCTTCTCCTAGATCTGGAAGTTACATAGTAACTTTAATAAGAGGCTTGTCCTAGATCTTGGAGTTACATAGTAACTTTAATAGGAGGCTTCTCCTAGATCTGGAAGTTACATAGTAAATTTAATAGGAGGCTTGTGCTCAATGTGGAAGTTACATAGTAACATTAATAGGAGGCTTGTCCTCAACCTGGAAGTTACATAGTAACATTAATAGGAGGCTTGTCCTAGATCTCTGTTATTAGCTCACCTGGCACGAAGTGCCAAGTGAGCTTATATTAATTATGCCGTGGTGCGGCGTCCGTCGTCCGTCCGTCCGTCCGGCGTCCAGCGTCAATATTTTACTTTAAACGACTTCTTCTTAATAACCAAAAGGCATAGGGTGATGATATTTGGCCAGTAGCATGCTGAGATGAAGGGCTACCAAGTTTGTTCAAATGAATGACCTTCACCCATTTTCAAGGTCACATGGGTCAAATATGTTAAAAACTTTAAACATCTTCTTGATAACCAAACTGTCCATGGAGATGATATTTGGCCAGTAGCATGCTTGGGTGAAGGGCTACCAAGATTGTCCAAATGAATGACCTTCAATTATATTCAAGGTCACAGGGGTCAATTATCTTAAAAAACCTTTAAACAACTTCTTCTGAATAACCAAAATGCCCAGGGTGATGATATTTGGCCAGTAGCATGCTGAGATGAAGGGCTACAAAGTTTGTTCAAATGAATGACCTTCACCCATATTCAAGGTCACAGGGGTCAAATATGTTAAAAACTTTAAACAACTTCTTCTGAATAACCAAAATGCCCAGGGTGATGATATTTGGCCAGTAGCATGCTGAGATGAAGGGCTACAAAGTTTGTTCAAATGAATGACCTTCACCCATATTCAAGGTCACAGGGGTCAAATATGTTAAAAACTTTAAACAACTTCTTCTGAATAACCAAAATGCCCAGGGTGATGATATTTGGCCAGTAGCATGCTGAGATGAAGGGCTACAAAGTTTGTTCAAATGAATGACCTTCACCCATATTCAAGGTCACAGGGGTCAAATATGTTAAAAACTTTAAACAACTTCTTCTGAATAACCAAAATGCCCAGGGTGATGATATTTGGCCAGTAGCATGCTGAGATGAAGGGCTACAAAGTTTGTTCAAATGAATGACCTTCACCCATATTCAAGGTCACAGGGGTCAAATATGTTAAAAACTTTAAACAACTTCTTCTGAATAACCAAAATGCCCAGGGTGATGATATTTGGCCAGTAGCATGCTGAGATGAAGGGCTACAAAGTTTGTTCAAATGAATGACCTTCACCCATATTCAAGGTCACAGGGGTCAAATATGTTAAAAACTTTAAACAACTTCTTCTGAATAACCAAAATGCCCAGGGTGATGATATTTGGCCAGTAGCATGCTGAGATGAAGGGCTACAAAGTTTGTTCAAATGAATGACCTTCACCCATATTCAAGGTCACAGGGGTCAAATATGTTAAAAACTTTAAACAACTTCTTCTGAATAACCAAAATGCCCAGGGTGATGATATTTGGCCAGTAGCATGCTGAGATGAAGGGCTACAAAGTTTGTTCAAATGAATGACCTTCACCCATATTCAAGGTCACAGGGGTCAAATATGTTAAAAACTTTAAACAACTTCTTCTGAATAACCAAAATGCCCAGGGTGATGATATTTGGCCAGTAGCATGCTGAGATGAAGGGCTACAAAGTTTGTTCAAATGAATGACCTTCACCCATATTCAAGGTCACAGGGGTCAAATATGTTAAAAACTTTAAACAACTTCTTCTGAATAACCAAAATGCCCAGGGTGATGATATTTGGCCAGTAGCATGCTGAGATGAAGGGCTACAAAGTTTGTTCAAATGAATGACCTTCACCCATATTCAAGGTCACAGGGGTCAAATATGTTAAAAACTTTAAACAACTTCTTCTGAATAACCAAAATGCCCAGGGTGATGATATTTGGCCAGTAGCATGCTGAGATGAAGGGCTACAAAGTTTGTTCAAATGAATGACCTTCACCCATATTCAAGGTCACAGGGGTCAAATATGTTAAAAACTTTAAACAACTTCTTCTGAATAACCAAAATGCCCAGGGTGATGATATTTGGCCAGTAGCATGCTGAGATGAAGGGCTACAAAGTTTGTTCAAATGAATGACCTTCACCCATATTCAAGGTCACAGGGGTCAAATATGTTAAAAACTTTAAACAACTTCTTCTGAATAACCAAAATGCCCAGGGTGATGATATTTGGCCAGTAGCATGCTGAGATGAAGGGCTACAAAGTTTGTTCAAATGAATGACCTTCACCCATATTCAAGGTCACAGGGGTCAAATATGTTAAAAACTTTAAACAACTTCTTCTGAATAACCAAAATGCCCAGGGTGATGATATTTGGCCAGTAGCATGCTGAGATGAAGGGCTACAAAGTTTGTTCAAATGAATGACCTTCACCCATATTCAAGGTCACAGGGGTCAAATATGTTAAAAACTTTAAACAACTTCTTCTGAATAACCAAAATGCCCAGGGTGATGATATTTGGCCAGTAGCATGCTGAGATGAAGGGCTACAAAGTTTGTTCAAATGAATGACCTTCACCCATATTCAAGGTCACAGGGGTCAAATATGTTAAAAACTTTAAACAACTTCTTCTGAATAACCAAAATGCCCAGGGTGATGATATTTGGCCAGTAGCATGCTGAGATGAAGGGCTACAAAGTTTGTTCAAATGAATGACCTTCACCCATATTCAAGGTCACAGGGGTCAAATATGTTAAAAACTTTAAACAACTTCTTCTGAATAACCAAAATGCCCAGGGTGATGATATTTGGCCAGTAGCATGCTGAGATGAAGGGCTACAAAGTTTGTTCAAATGAATGACCTTCACCCATATTCAAGGTCACAGGGGTCAAATATGTTAAAAACTTTAAACAACTTCTTCTGAATAACCAAAATGCCCAGGGTGATGATATTTGGCCAGTAGCATGCTGAGATGAAGGGCTA